CCCATTCCCTTCTATCCTTTCCCCTAGCCCTCCCACTTCCTTCCCCTTTGCCCCTTTTCTTCCTATTTCACATTGCCTATTATACATTTAGTCCTTATTTACACTTTCAGTCTCTTCTGTGTGTCCTCCCTGTTCATGTGCTGTCTCCCTATGTGGGGTCAGCCTGCTCTTGGATTTCCAAGCCTCCAGAACCCTAAGCTAAATTATTCTTCATAAACCAAAAAATATAATTATTTTGTACATGTGTTAAATGGTAAAATATACACTTGATTTTAGCCAAAAGGCAGAGAAGTGATGTTAAATGGTAAAAATATATATTTGGGCTGAGATCCCGTTTCCAGGCCCACAACTCTTGTAACCCTTGGACACTTCAGTGAGAAGTATCCTTCTGGAAGCTGAGGAGTAGACTGACTGGCAGCCCCCCAGGCTGGGTGCTGGTCCCCAGAAAGACCACAGCAGCCCCACCCTCTGATTTCCCTGGAGGGGAGAGGGCCTGAAGATTAGCTGATCCCCAAGGCCAATGATGTGATCAATCATGAGTGTAATGAAGCCCCAGGGTCAGGGTTTGGAGATTCTGGAGGGCTGGATGCACCGAGGTTATGGAGGATGGTGCTTCTGGAGCCATCTGGAAGCTGCATGCTTGTCTCCCACACCTTGCCTTGTGCATGTCTTCAACTATATCCTTGGTTTTTGTTTTTGTTTTTTTTGTTTTTTTTGGTACCGGGGATTGAACTGAGGACCTTGCGCTTCTGAGGCAGGTGGTGGCACCACTGAGCTAAATCCCCGGGCCCTTATCCTTGGTAATAAATGTGTTTACCTGAATTTGGGGAGCCCTCTAGCAAGTTGTTGAACCTGTGGAGGGCTTTGTGGGAACCCTGAGTGACCGCCGGTTGTTGGAAGCATGGGTAAAATGATCTGGGGTTTGTGATTTGCATCTGGGGGGCAGTTTTGGGGACTGAACCTTCAGTCTGTGGGATCTGATGCCATCTCCAGCAGAGGGGTCAGAGCTGATATGTTTCGCAGGACATAAGTCCACTGCAGAATTCAGGGCCCGCTTGATGTGTGAGGAAAACCCCACAGAGGGGTGTCCGAGGCAGTTATGAGAGCACCAGGGAGATTGCCTTTGCATTCATTTGGTGTCAGCGAAGTGGAGTCTGCTGGGCCAGTCCTCGATCAGGGAGCCATGGCTTGCAAGAGAAAGGATAAAAAAGAGAGGGACTTGTGGTTCTCAAGGGGTCCCCTGGGTATGGAGCAGCAGCTGGGCTGTGATCAGTCACCAAAGTGAAAGCTATCACTGCAATTTAGAGGTGGATCCAGCTCCCAGGGAGTCAGTCTTCGGGATGCACTTCCTGGATGCAGGAGGAACTATTTCCTATTAAGGAAAAAGGAAAATCTGCATCCCTTGGTTGTTGCTCTCTGCAATAGCTCACTTAAAAGTAGAAGTGCTAACTAGGTATGGTGGTGCAACCCTGTAATCCCAGCACTCAGAAGGCTAAGGCAGGAAGATGGCCACAAGTTTGAGGCCAGCCTGGGCTACAAAAGGAGACCCTGTCTCAAAAAAATCCAGCAACAACAACAAAAACAAAGTAAAAGTGTTGGGTCAACCTTGCTGCTAGACTACATCTGACTTCAGTTGGTCTGAGCCTGGGCCGCTAGTTTCAAAGCTTGCCCCAAGAGCCAGGCATGGTGATGCATACCTGTAATCCTAGCACTCTGGGAGGCTGAGGTAGGAGGGTCACAAGTTTCAGCCCTGCCTGGGCAATCCAGTGACTTAATGAGACACCGTCTCAAAATATAAGATAAAAAAGGCTGGAGATATAGCTTAGTGCAAAGGCCTTAGGTTCAATCCCCAGTACTGCCAAAAACAAAACAAAACACCACCTCAAAAAAAAAAACAAAAAACAACAACCCCAAAACACCACTACCTCCAAGGGAAAAATTATGCAGGGGTAACAGAAAGTACCTCTAAGACTTGTGGTTTCCAAGAAGGTAGGCAGTGTGGGGGGAGGGCAAAACCAAGAAATGACTGAAACTAAAGAGGACAGTAGGAAGGAATTATTCATTTATAGATTGGTGTCATCAGCCTTTACTGAAATGGGCACTGGGATTAATTTCTTTCAAGGCATAACTTTGGTTTTAACAGTGGAAGAACGTGTTTGGGTGGGGCCCAGACCTTCAGCTCACTATGAGCATAATCATAGGTGCTGGGTATTCTTGTGGGCACCACATCCTGTAGGTTGGATTTACCTGGAGAAAGGAGACATCTGACTCTCCCTAGAAATGCCAATGGGAACATCCCAGATGAAACTGCAAAGACAATGCTTCCTCTGTAAGACTCATGGGCCCAGCTCTATGATGCCTGGATTTTCACCACCGGATATGCCTGCTACCCAGCTCTTAGTAAATGCTGGGAAATAGGGGGACCCTCTGTGTGGAGCCTCCACATAGCCTTGCTGCTACAAGGCTTCCTTCCCCTTCTGGGTCTTATAAATGTTTGTTTGTTTGTTTATTTAGGTACTAGGGATCGAACTCAGGACCTTGTGCTTGCTAGGTGGGTGTGGCGCCTCTGAGCTACATCCCTGGCCTTGGGTCTTATAGATGTTAAAGACAGGTTAATTTATTTTTATTTCTTTAAAGCAAAACATTTTTTGTACCTATACATGATATATCTTGCTTCTTTTTTTCCCACCTCACATTGACCCCTCCTCCCCTCCTTATATACAAAAGCTTTGTTTCCATTTTTTTCTTCTATTTTTTCTCTTTTTAAAAACAGGTCAATTAACAAGAGAATGGAGAAATACTAATGTAAGAATCATAGAACTCATCCCAGGTAGGTGGAAATTTTTGCACTCTTATTAAGCAATAAGGTCAAGGCTGGAGATAGAGCTCAGTGGTAGAGCCCTTGTGTAGCATGTACAAGTTCCTGGCTTCAATTTCCTGCACTCCCCCCCAAAATCCCCTGCACTGGAAAGAAAAAAAGGTGAATAAAGAAAACATTAATAAGCTGGGTGTGGTGGTATGCACCTGTAATCCCAGCACTCAGGAGGCTGAGGTAGGAGGATTGCCATGAGTTCCAGGCCAGCCTGGGCTACATAGTGAGTTCAAGGCCAGTCTGAACTATATTGTGAGACCCTGACTCAGAAAACAAAAACAAACAAACAAAAAAGAAAACATTAATAAGGGTAAAGTTGAAAGGAAAAGGAAAAGATAGTCATGGATTTATCCCAGTAGGGTGGGATTTTTTTTTAGGGACAGGGTCTTGCTATGTAACCTAGGCTAGACTCAAACTCCTAACTCTCTTGCCTCAGCCTCCTAGGAATGCCGCCATGCCCAGGAAAGGTGGAAATCTTTAGATGACTATTAAGAAGTGGGAGGGGAGGTGGGTGGGTAAACAGCTCCTGTAGCCGTGACAGCGGCCTAGGCTTGCGGACTCTTCTCACCGAGGCGTACCATGGAGAGGGGCTGTCTTTAGTAGCAGCCTGGGCCGAAGCGCATCGCCTTTACGGGGTCGGCAGGGCGGGCACCATGTGGCATTCATCTCTGTACCCCCAGCATCTAGCAGTACTGGCATGTAGTAGGCACTCAAGAAATGTGTGTTGAATGAAGGATGCCTGTGCCAAGCAACTGGACTTTACTCTTTCCTGAGCCTTGCTCCTATGATGCACCTCCTCCTGACTGCCACTGTCACCCCTTCATAGCAGAACTTCTCTAGGGAACCTGGAAGGGAAACAGCCATGGCCAAAAACATCCTGGGTGAAGCTGGGTTGCACTTTGATGAGCTGAGGAAGCTATGGGTTTTGGACCCAGAGGTTACCCAGCAGACCACAGAGCTCAAGAAAGAGAGCAAGGACTTTGTGGATAAAATTGGCCAGTTTCAGAAAATAGCTGGTGGTCTAATTGAGCTTGTGGACCAACTTGCAAAAGAAGCAGAAAATGAGAAGATGAAGGCCATTGGTGCTCGGAACTTGCTCAAATCTATAGCAAAACAGAGAGAAGCCCAACAACAGCAACTTCAAGCACTAATAGCAGAAAAGAAAATGCAACTAGAAAGGTATCGAGTTGAATATGAAGCTTTGTGTAAAGTAGAAGCAGAACAAAATGAATTTATTCACCAATTTATTTTTCAGAAATGAACTGAAAATTTCATTTTTATAGCAGGAAGGTGAAAAAGAAAAAACACCCAACCCCCAAACCAAAAAACCTCTACCATTCCAGTGACTTGACTGATGACCTGAGTATGTCATGAAACAGTGTAAGGAGTGAGCCCCTGAAGGCAGTAATGCAAGTCTGGGGGAGCTGGTGTTAAATGTCAGTGCACAGCCACTGCCAGTGGCCACACAGGGCAGGTCCTCATCTCTTGCATTCTTAGTATGAACTAAGCAGTCTGTAAACTTTGCTCTGTTTTGTAAATTCACAATACTTTGGAAGGAAAAGCAATAAATTATTGTTTTCAAAAAAAAAAAAAAAAAAGAAGAAGTTCGGGGCGGGGGGGAGTTTGATTGCGGGGCGGTAACCCTACCGCAAAAGCCCAAAATCCCGAATCCAATTCCCGGAGACAAAAAAAAAAAAAAAGAAGTGGGACAAATAAAATGGAAATTTACGAGGTTAAAAGAGAGTTCTCAGTAGAACACTATCAATGGCTTGGTGGCCGGAAAGGAGCTTTGATAGAACTGCAATATTGAAGGGCTCCAAACAAATTCTCTGAATTTACTTTATTTATTTATTCATTCTTTTGGTACCAGGGATCGAACTCGGGACCCTGCACTTGCAAAGCAGGCAGCAGCACCACTAAGCTAAATCCCCAGCCCTGCATTTCCTTTAGTTTGAAGAAATTTTTAAAAGTCAGAAGGCAAAGATTATAAATGAGATAATTTGATCTGAAATTCCCCGAGGCAATAGGCAGATTAATCAAGATAAAAATTAACGAAATGGCCATAGTGCCTTGGTTTAACCTCTTGGTAGGAACCCAAAACCATATGTTTGTAAGTGGGTAGAATGGCCTGGGAGTGGTGAGGAGTTCCCAGGATTCCTTGATATGGTAGCTCCATGCTTTGGTACAAAGATCCATTTTTAAAAAAATTTTTAATTTTTTGTTTTTTTGGTACCAGGGATCGAACTCAGGGCCTTGGGCTTACAAGGAAGGTAGCGGCACCACTGAGCTAAATCCCTGGCTGTTTTTTTGTTTGTTTGTTTGTTTTTGAGACAGGATCTCATTATGCAGTTCAGGCTAGTCTTGACCTCACTATGTGGCCCAGGTTGGCCTGGAACTTGAGGTAGTCCTCTCATCTCAGCCTCCTGAGCACTGGGACTACAGGTGTGCACCATCACACCTGGCTAAAGATCCATTGTTTTTTGTTGTTGCTGTTTTTGTTTTTTCAGACAAGGTCTCCCTATGTCAGTGATGGGAAACCTTTTAGAGATCAGGCGCCCAGACTACAACCCCATACCCACTTATTTATTGCAAAGTGCCAACCCTGTAATTAAACCTGAATTCTGAGGTTTTAGTTTAGAATAAACACCTGTTATCTGATACTTGGCTGCTGGGGTAACTTGGCTTGTGTGCCAGCAGAGAGGGCTCTGTGTGCCTGCTTCGGCATGGTGCCATAGACTTACCACTGCCCTATGTATTTACATGGCTCCTACAAGAAAGATCACACTACCTGAGGAACCAGAGGAGGAGTGCTCACCAGCAGGGGGCCTCTTTCCCCTAGGACTGACTCTGGAACTGCTTGAGGAAGTGTCTGATTCCACTGTCACTTAGACCAGGGCCCATAAACAACAATCAACTGACCGGGAGCTGCCAGATGTGGTGGCAGTTCCAAGATGAATGGACAATGTCCTATTTGGACGGATGCTACCCTGCTTAAAGAAGGCAAAAACAGGCTGGGGATTTAGCTCAGTGGTTTCACCACCTGCTGCGCAAGCGCAAGGACCTGAGTTCAATCTCCGGTACCAAAAAAAAGAGGAATGGTTTATTTACAAAAAAAAAAAAAAAAGGCAAAAACAAATCAGCTCATTGGGCTGAACTGCATGCTGAAGAATCTAATGTAGGCAAGAACCTCTGTATCTGGGCTTTTACTGATCCATGGGCTGTGACAGTGGCCTGGCCACCTAGTCAGGTAGAAGGACAGTGGAATGCTGGTTCATTAAAGGGTTGCTGGTGTGGGCAGAGTACTTCAGAAACTTGAGAGGTGCATGAATGTATGACATGAGTATGCTTGTCAGAGTAACTGCCTTCTAGGTTTACAGGGTGACTCCAGTTGACCAGCAGATATCCCCGTGTGGGTCTATGAAATAAGTAGACTTGGGGAGCTGAATATAGACACGTTCCTCTTGTATTTTTTTTTTATTTTTTCCAGCGCTGGAGCTTGAACCTTGGGTTTCACACATGTTACACAAACTGTCTACCACTGAGCTATGTCTTCAGCCCCTCATGCAGCCTGTGAGGTACATCGTGCCAACAAGAGCTGTCGTCTGTCAGTACGAGAGGCAGTGGCTGCCAATGGTTGTGTGACAAATTCCTGGGTGGGGAAGCCCCTGAGCACAGCTGACAAGTGAGGCTGAGGCTGGTCTCCTGGGTGCTACCAGTGGATCTTGGCAGGAATAGACTCTGTCTCTGGCGTGGGCTTTGCTTACCTGGTAGAAAGGGCAAATGCTCAGAGTGCTGCAGAAAAACCAGGCCAGGTGATATTGCACAGGTAGGGCTGGCTGAAGGTCATTTCTTCAGACCAAGGAACACAAGGCACAGCCCAGAATGCCCAAAGTGGTGGTGGTGGGGGCCTTCCCATCTATAGTGTGATAGAGAGATGGAATAGGCAGTTATAACATGGGTTATCTGTAAAACGAGGAGAGAACAGCATGAGGGACCGGCCTACACACCCTCACACTTTGCGCTCACTCTCAGCTGAGTGGAATACAAGGAGCATCCCCACTAGAATTTCCTATTTTTCTGGTGGATGTGGGGAAGGGGCAGTGAACCATGACTGCAGTTCTTACCAAGGATGCTGGTATAAAGGCTATGTATTTTTTCTTCTTCTTCTTCTTCTCCATATCACCTTAACTTCCTTTTTCTTTCCCTACCTGCTACAGTGGTCACAGGACCAGGGCTGCAATTGCAAGTGCTGTAAGTAGGGCTGGCTCCTTAGCCAGAAGCTTTAACTGACATTAAACCATGTGTCAGAATTCCTAGGGCCTGACAGGGTGGGTTGTACCTTTACCCCTCTCTGGCGACATGGGCTAGGAGCAAATGTAGCTGCACTGCCTGGTGGTTACGACTGCCCACTGTCCCAAACCTGCATCCCTTGAACCTGTCCGAATGGGAGTGGACTGAGGGGAGGCATTTGCTGGGGTTGTGCTGTCTGGGGTATTGACAAGCACAGTGGCCAAACCTAATGTTCCTTCTAAAGGTGGAGGGGTTTGATTATTAACGAATAGAAGGAAAGTAGCAGAGGCTGAGGCAATGGATAAATGGGTTATAAAGAGTGAAATCCAGTCTTACACGAACCCCTCAGATAAGGCTCATAGTGAGAGTCTGCTGTCTCTTAGCTTGATTCTACCAGGCACGGGGAGGGGGACGCTATGTGTTTGCAGAAACTCTTGGCTTTACAATGCTCAGCTGAGTGGAAGCCTGCCAACCCGAGTGGCCTCTCCCTGGGAGACATATTCCTTTGGCGTGATGAACTGAATTCAGTATTAATCACCCGGATGGGATTCTAGCAATGGGCCAGTATCTGTGGAGTTGTATATACATCCTTGTGACATCAGGGATTTGAGTTCTGGTGGACAGTGGTATTGTGAAATATTTATTTTGTCTTCTCATTTCCTTGCTTACAACTCCTAGAATCCTTGGGATCGTAAGTGATAAGTGCCTCTTTTGTGCTAATGAACTGATAAGTGGCTGGCAGCCCCCGGGTTGTGGTAGGACAGGGCTGGTCCCCAGGGAGACTGGGCCTATGGGACAGTTGGGCCTTTCAGCCCCACCCCCAAGGCTCTAGGGAGGGGAGAGGACCAGAAAGTTAAATTGACGCTAATGGTCAGTGACATAATCAGTCACACCTAGGTACAGAGCCACCCACAGTAAAACCCAGAAGACAAGAGTTTGGAGCGGTTTCAGAGGAACAAGCCCATGTAGGTTCCCAGTGGGTGGTGTCCTTAGAAAGCTCCACGCCCTTATTATATCCTTTCTAACCTCCTTTATAATAAACTACTAAATGTAAGTAAATGTTTCTCTGAGTTCGGTGAGTTGATCTAGCAAATTAATCTGATCTGGGGAGGACATTGTGGGAACCCTAATTTATTTTTGTTTTTTTTTGAGACAGAGTCTTACCACGTAGTCCAGGCTGGTCTTGAACTCACTGTGTAGCTCAGGCTGGCCACAAACTTGTGGAGGTTTTCCTGCTTCAGCCTCCAGATTGCTGAGATTACAGGTGTGCCCAACCACACCTGGCTGGAAACTTCCATTTATAGCCGGTGGTCAGAAGCACAGGTAGAAACAACAGCAACCCCAGCAACACTGTTGCTGAGTAGCCTTAGAAGTGAACTGAGCCGCAGCCGGGGTGCGCTGCAAAAAGTAGGGTTGGCTGTGTGAGGAAAACCTCCCAGGTGTGGTATCAAAGACTTGTTCATAACAAGAGTTTAGTGGGAAAAACTGAGTTTGGTTTTATTTCTCTTTTCTGTGCTAAGGTTTGAACCCAGGGCCTTGCACATGCTCAGTCTGTACTACTGAGCCATATTCCCAGCCAAGTTTGTTTCTTCTAAGATCCTCATTGAAGCATTCTCATGGTTTTAATAAGGGATTCACTGATCATTATGTATGGCAAATATGTACTAATAAAAATTTAAATATTAAGAAAAATAATGGGTTCAAGAACCTAATGAGAATTTTTTTTTTAGAAGACAGGGCCTCCTTATGTGGTTCAGGCTGGTCTTGAGCTGGTGATCCTCCTGCCTCAGCCTGCTGAGCGCTGGGATTACAGTGGGTGTGCCACCAAGCCCAGCTTCTTCACATCCTTTTATGCAGTCTTCATATTTTTTGCCCAAACCTGGCAAGGACAGTTGCAGGATGAAAAATAATAAGTCAGTCTCATTCATACACATAGATACAAAAATCTTAAATATAATTACTAGCATGCTCTGTTGTTGTTCTCTATGTGTTGCCCCATAGTGTGAGAAAATTATCCTTCTACTCTCAACATGAGGCTTGGTCACAAGGCTTGGTTTAGCCAATAAGATGTGAGCCAAGATGACACATGTTTGAGCAGAAGTTTTAGGTGCTATTGTGTGGTTCCAGCAATCCATCCACCTGCTGATCCACCTTTCTGGGTTCTAGAATTAAAAAAAAATACGATTACTGCAGCCACAATTTTATGTGAGCTAAAAATGAACTCTGTTGCTCTAAACCACTAAGATCTGCAGATTGCTACTGCAGAACCGGAGACAGTGTCCGGAGAAGGACAACCTACTGGCCTTTGCTCTTATTGGATGTCACAATGGCCCACTTGCTTCTGGGTTGTATGAACAAAGCACTGCAGAAGTATGAACACCAGCCTAAAAAAGCAGGCAAATCTTTTTACCCGCGTAGTCTCAGATAACATTGGCAAAGTTAGGGCAAACGAAATATATCCCTTGCACACTAAAATCTGAGGCTGTTCAAGTCCCTTGTATAAAATAGCATAGTGTAGCCGGGTGTGGTGGCACATACTATAGCCCCAGCGTGCTGGGGTAGAACCCAGTATCCTTGGCAGTTTAGCACCTTAATGAGACCCTATGTCAAAAGGAGGGGTGTGCTGGGGTTTTAGTTCAGGGTGAAGCATTCAGCCTCTATTCCACAAGACAAAAACAGAAAACAGCTGAGTGTGGTGACACATGCCTATATATACAGTGAGAACCTGTCTCAACAAAACAAAACAACAAAAAACTCCCTTAAAAAAACAACAAAAAAATAAGAGCTGTAAGATTGTACACAAATACCACCCCTCCACCCCTCTGCTCTCCCATACTGGGGATTAAACTCAGGGCCTTTGCCTTGGTCTACATCCCCAACCCTTTTTATTTGTTTCTTTATTTATTCCGGATAGAGTCTTGCTACAGTATGCAGTTCAGGCTGATCTCTAACATGCAGTGATCCCGTGTGTCATCCTTCCGAGTGCTGGGATTGCAACGTGCTGGGGTCAGAGGCACACACTCTGACACTTGGCTTTTTTTGAGACAGGGTTTTGCTACCTTGCTCAGGCTGGGTTCCGTCGCCTGATTCTCCTGTCTCAGTTTCCCAGAATGCTAGGATCACAGGTGTGCACCAGTATACCCACCCTCTTCTAGTATATTTAAAATCATCCCTAGATTACTTACAATAGTGAATATGATGTAAATGTTATGTAAATAGTTACACAATACTGTTTAGGAAATAATGACAAGAAAATAAAAATCAGTACACATTCAATTTTTTTTCTCAAATGTCTTTCTTTTTTTCTTGGTTTTTAGAGATGGGATCTTGCTATGTAGTTCAGGCTGGCCTTGAATTCATGGAAATCCTCCTGCCTCAAATGTTTTTCAGTCTATAATTTGTTCATCTATGGATGCAGAACCACAGACAGGTAGAACCTGTGGCTATTGTGTCAAAAATCTAATTTAATCCTCACCTTCCCCTACTGACAGGCCCTGTTTGAGGAATTTAGGGAAAGGAAGAGGTGTGGTTTTCTCTTTCATTCAGTGACTAACTGTTCAACGATCTGTTTTTTTTTTTGTTTTTTTTTTTTTAAGTAGGGCAGAAGAAAGGATCCAGAAGTGGACAATTACTTTTGATTTGTCTGGCTGTGGAGTACAGAGATGACCCTTATTTAGGCTGGAGGGAGGTGGGGTGTAGTGGTGGCCCCGATGGTTGAAAAACTAGAAACTCTATGTTTGTGTCCCCACTGAGTTTCAGACCTTTCAGGAAAGCAGTTAGCTGCCCTGGAGGGCTACTTCCTTTGCCAAGACTTTGCATTTACTCTCTTATCTTCACTAAGAGTGAACTTGTAGATTTCCAGAAACAGGGAAACCCACACTGAAATAGGTCTCCCAGAGGTTCCAGGTTTCTTCCATTCTGTTCGTGCTTGGGATTTGGCAGTGGAAGCTCTGGCCAGTCACCTTCTGTTGGGACCAGCGGTGTCTTTTTCTCAATGCCTGATATTGAGGCTCCCGAGAGGCACTGGAATTTTTTTTTTTTTTTTTGCAGTACCAGGGATCTAACTTGGGACCTTGCACTTGCGAGGCAGGTGCGGCACCACTGAGCTACATCCCCAGCCATGGAATTTTACTTTTTTGCTTTTCCTTTTTAAAATCTGGGATTCTTTGTTTTTTAATTTTATTTTTTATTGTCTGGGTCTGTTTGCCCATGATTTGTCTAGCTTAAATCTTGGGGTGTGTCCCATTCCATGAATGGAGGGGCTTAGACCACCAGCTCAGGCTGAAATTGCCAAAAAGGCAGCTTGGATATTCAAGAGTCAAATTCCAGATCATCCAGTTTCAATGGGGAGCAGCCGTGGCTTTAGGTCTTGATCACTGGAGATCTCTGCTGGGGTAGATGGTGGGGTTTAGTTTCTGTTGGATGAATGATGACAGAGAATTTGGTTTGTTAGATCAGATTATTTGTGAGATCAAATCACTTAAACTATTCTGTGCCCACTGGGAAGCAGAAGGGCCCTTTGCCATCTGGGCTGGTGAGTTTTGTGGCCATGTCTGCTCCAACTAGTGATGTGCTATAACCCCGTGTGTCTGCAGCCTTTTGAGGACACGGCCTAAAATCTCATTGTGTGAGTTGTGTATTTCCATTTCCTCCTCCTCCTCCTCTTTCTCTTCCTTCTCCTCCTTCTCCTTCTTCCTCTTCTCCTCCTTGTCCTCCTCCTCTTCTTCCTCCTTTTTTTTTTGCAAGACATTTATTGGTACATTTTAGATATACATAACGATCACATTCATCATAGGGAATTTGTATCTGTACATGTTATATCTTGCTTCTTTTTTCCCCATTATCCTCTCTCCCTTCAACCCCTCTTCCCCTCCTTATTTACAAAAGCTTTGTTTCCATTTTTCCCTTCCATTCTTTTTTTCCCCTTGTCCCTTCTTTCCTTTCTCCCTCCCCCCTCCCTTGCTCCTCATCTCATTTGAACTTTTTCTTCCCATTTCCCAATATCTACTACACATTTTGGTCCTTATTTCCACTTTTGGTTTCTCATACCAGAGAAATAATTTGGTATTTACACATGTGTGTCTGATTTATTTCACTTGAGAGTATGGCCTCAAGGTGCATCCATTTAGCGATAAATTTCTCAAGTTTATCTTCCTTTATGGCTAAGTAGTACTCCATTTATAAAAAAAACCCTCCACATCTTCTTCATCCATTTGTCAGATGATGGGCATTTGGGTTGTTTCCAAGATTTAGCTATTACAAACTGTGCCACTGTATCACTTCGTTTTTTTTTTTGGTACCAGGGATCCAACTCAGGACCTTGCACTTTTGAGGTAGGTGGCAGAACCACTGAGCTAAATCCCTGGCCCAAAACAGTGCCACTATAACACATGGGCATACCTATATCACTGTGGCATGACGCTTTTAATTCTTTCCAGAAGATACCAAGAAGGGGGAATAGCTGGGTCAAATGGAACCTTTAGTTTTTGTTTTGTGAGAATCTCCACACTGATTTCCACCATGGTTGCACCAATCTACACTCCCACTAACAGTGGATAAGGATTCCTTTTTCCCTACAGCCCCTCTAGCATTTGTTATTGGTTGTTTTCTTGATAATAACCATTCTTTCTGGAGTGAGATGGAATCTCAGTGTTGTTTCAATTTGTATCTCTTGAATGATCAGTGACGCTGAACATTTTTTCTTATATTTATCTGGTGTTTCTACTTCTTCATCTGAGAAGTGTCTGTTCATTTCAGATGCCCATTTTTGGATTGGGTCATTAAATTTGGGGGTTCTGATTTTTTGAGTTCTTTATATATTCTCTATTTTACTCCTTTGTTTGAGAAATAGCTGATAAAATTTTTTCCCACTCTGTGGGTTGTCTTCACTGTTGGTGGTTTCTTTTGCTGTGCAAAAGCTTTTAAAATGAGATCCCAGTGTTGATTCTTTGTGATAGTTCCTGTGTGATCGGGATTTTGTTCATATAGTATTTGCAGATACCAATGTCTTCGAGTTCTACCTAGGGCCGGGAATTTAGTTCAGTGGTTCTGCCACCTGCCTTGAAAGTACAAGGACCTGAGTTCAATCCTCAGTACCAAAAAAAAAAAAAGACTAAATAAAAAGAGTTCTACCTATTCTATCTTCCTGCAGATTTAGTGTCTCTGTTTATTGTTTAAATCTTTGATCTATTCCAATTTTAGTTTAGTACATGGTGAAAGATATGGGTCTAGTTTTAATCTTCAGCATGTAGGAAGCTAGTTTTTCTAGCACATTTATTAAAGAGGCTATCTTTCTTCCAGTGAAGGTGTTTGGCTCCTTTGTCAAAGGTAAGGTGGCTGAGTGTGTTTGAAATTGTTTCTGCATTTTCTAATCTGTCCCATTGATCCTCTGGTCTTTTGCGTATTTTCTACTTTGCCAGGGGTACTAAATTAGATTATGAAGACTTTTTTTTTTGGGTAGGAACTTTGCTTTATTGGATTTTTTTCATGGATTTGTATGGTGAACAATTTTTAGATTATAAAGACTTAAAGAAGCTTTGTTCTGCTTGGTTTTGGAGACTCATAGGAGCTTATATAAATCTAATTTTGCTAAAACTCCCAGAAAATAAAGAAGCTAAACTTTTAATAGTCTAGGTGGGATAAGCAAAACAAAACAAAAACTTTTCTCATAGAAACAGCCAGCTCAGATGTGATTTTATCCAAGAATCTAAATTCACTTAATCAAACAAGTTTTCATCTTTAGACAGGTTAGACTGACTTGATGATTTGCCTAAAAATACATGTTTTTTTGCCAGGTGTGGTAGCATGTGCCTGTAATCCCAACACTTGGGAGACTGAGGCAGGAGGATCGCCCTGAGTTTGAGGCCAGCCTGGGCTACACAATGAGTTCAAAGCCAGCTTGAATTACATAATGAAAAAACCAAACAAACAAACATGTTTTTTCCCCTTATTTTACCAGATGTGCTTCTCTGTATATTACTGTTTCTCATAAAATCTTTTTTTTTTTTTGAGACAGGGTCTCACTATGTAGTCCAGGCTGGCCTTGAACTCACAGTGATCCTACTGCCTCAGCCCATGGAGTGCTGAGATTATAGGTGTGCACCATCATGCCTGGGTAAAATGACAATTATTAATGCATTCATTAAAATGACCCAAAGATCAATCCGTTTCATAATCTACAAAAATAAGAAACAAAGGTATTTAATATTTATCTTAAGTTTTGGAGTTAACTAAGGATCTTAGGAATTATATTTAAGGTGATATATTATAGAACCTAATTACTGTGCGACTAAGAAATTGATCAGAGTCATATTTCAACTTAGTGAAACACATAATTTCAGTGTTTTTCTTAATCTTACTACCTTAAATTTGGTATGTATCATGGAATGAATGATTTTATCTTTACTTAATATATCATACTCAGAAACAATAGCTAGTAAGTTTTTCATGTTTTAAAACTTTTTATGAGTGCTATCATATTGCTTGAATCCCTTTGCAGCTTGCCTTTGTTTTTGAGCTTCCATTAAAAAACCTTGTTTTTCTTTGCTGGGGATTGAACCCAGGGTCCCTTGTGCATGCTCTACCACTGATCTACATCCCCAGCCCCAAGCTTACATTTTGTAAAATAAACTTTTTATCTGGGAATAATTTTAGATTCACAGAAAAGCTGCAATGGTCAGGTTGCAAAGGTGGTGCATAGTGTCACTGCTCACCTTCCTCAGGTTTCCTAATGCTACATCATACATAACTGTGCTTGTGAAAACTAAGAAGTCAGGCTGGGGATGTAGCTCAGTAGTGGAGCACTTTGCCTAGAGTGCACAGGGCCCTGGATTTGATCTTCAGCACTGCAAAACAAACAAACAAAAACTAAGGAATGAACATTGGTATACTATTACCAGCTAAATTACAGACTTTATCCAGATTTCACCATGTTTTCCACTTTTTTCTGTTCCTGGATACCACATTGCATTTAGCAGATAGCAGTTTTAAGATTTATGACACGTGACATTCTAATTCATTCATTCTAATTGAAGTTATAATTTCTTTTTTGTTTGTTTGTTTGAGACAGAGTCTCACTATATAGTTCAGGTTAGCCTCAAATTAGCAGCATTAGTATCCTTTTGCTCGAGCCTCTTGAGTGCTGAGATTACAGGCACCCCCACACCCAGTTTATAATTCCTTTTGGAAGTTATAATTCCTTTTTTCTTTTTTGAGTTGGGGGTCTCATTGTGGTGCTCAGGCTGGCCCTGAACTCAAGGTCCTCCTGCCTCAGCCTCCTGAATAGCTGTGATTGCAGGCATGTACCACCATGCCTGGCCCCGTCTACTTCTTCATTTGACAGTACTAATCCTCTCCCATGTGCCAAACAGTAGGCGAGGTAGCTAGAGGTTTGCCCTTAGCCTCTTATCCTAATCCTAGGTTATCTCATTTATTCTAATGGCTTCAAGTCTAAAATCTGCAACTACAGCCCAGACTTTGCATCTTATGCTTCTAACCCATCCAACTGCTTCCTGAACATCCCCACAGGTCACCTCAAGCCAACCTGTTCAGCATCTGTACGCAGCCCCAAATCTGCCTAAATTCTAGTATCAGCCACTTCCCAGGGGCTGGAGGTAACTGCTTTTCTTCTCCAGCATCAGTTCAAAGCAGCACCAAGTTCTGTCTTGGAGCTTCTTACATTGTCAAGGGCATTCATCTATTTATTCATCCTTTTTGATGCCTTTTGTGCTGGAACCTGTCCTTTGCAACCCTCTGTCCTAATGCCATGCTCCTCCGACCTCCATTCACTTCACTGCGATACCCTCAATTTCCTTTTCTATTTTCCTTCTAGCGGAGCCCAGCTGTCTCTTGTCTTCCTATCTTCCTATGGCTGATTCTTTTCAGGTATTTAGTTGTTAGCTCACATTTTCTGTTTTGTCTTCTCTACTGCATTCACCTTCCAAGATATATTAATGACTGACTTAAAAAAAATTCATTTCTTGCCTGCTAGTTTAGGGCGGAAATCCCCCCAGGGCAAAGACTTTGTTCTGTCTTCTTTACCATTGCCTCTCTAGTTCTGAGCCACCCCCCCCCCAACCCCCTCCGGCAATATTGTGGAGCTCAGCTGTAGAGTGGCGCTCCCAGGCTCTGGTTGGGACAGAGGTGTCCACCAACAATAGAAAAGTTCCAACCCACCTATCCTGGCAAGAACCCAGTCTGGGGGCCGTGGCGTCCTTCCGGTCTGCAGGGGCCCTGCGACCAGCCTTGCGATTCTCCTCCCTCAAGACTCCAGACGCCCGGCTCGAGTCTCAGATCTCGGTTTCCCCAGAGTAACTTGGGGTCAAATAGAGCTGCTCAGACTGAAGTTTATCAAACATAGGTATGGTGAGTTCACATATTTACTGTTAAGAAGTGTTACTGAGAGGGGCGTGGTGGTGCATGCCTGTAATCCCAGCACTCAGAAGGCTGAGGCAAGAAGATTCCAGTGCGTTCAAGGCTAGCACAACCCTGTCTCAAAAAAAAAAAAAAAAAAAAAAAGTGTTATTGAGGTCCCCTGCTACTGATCCAGGCAATGTTTGGTGGGGCTCTGGTGGGTGGCTGGTTAGGATGGCTGAGGGGAGCAGCTGAAGGCGGCCTTGACCCCGCCCCTGGTGGTCTTGGCTCCGCCCCTTAGCACTGCGTTAAGTGGAAGCTTGGCAGTGATTGTGGCGTGTGGGTGCTGTGACACGGCCGGCGACTGCCTGTGACTCCTTACCGCGGCTGGCCTTCCCTCTGGGCTGGAGTGGGTCTGTGTCCCGGGAGTCCCAGTGTGCAGCTGGTGCTCCAGGCTGAGATGGAGCAGGGCGCTGAGGAGCTGAGCCGGTGGCAGCCTGTGAACCAGCCTTTCCAGGTGAGACTGGGGTCGTCCAGGGGTGGTTGAGTGAGTGGCTGACGATTGGAGGTTGGGGAGGTGGGGGGAAGCGGAAGAGGAGGGGGTATTTGTTGGCACTAGGGTTGCAACCCAGGGCCTTAATAAGTACTTAGTGGATGGATCGGACTGCAGTACACAGAGCCACAGGAGCAATGGGCAAGAGGTCTTCGGTTTAAATTTTGGAGGTCAGAGGACAGACAGCTGAGGGCTTAATCTGGGTCTAGACAATGTTTCTAGGTCCTGAAACTGGAGGGAGAATTCCTCTGCTCCGGAGGAAAGATAGGCTGAGAGCCCAGGGCCTACAGCAGGGGAGGCCGGAAGCAGGAGATGGTTCAGGAATGGAGTTGGTTCTTCCAAGGGCAGAAGGTGGCCTTTATCTGTCATTTGTATTTCTAAAAGAATGCCCCGGGGTGGGGGGGCTCGGTTGAAAGCTGTTGTGATAAGCCGAGTGAGAAGTGAGAGTAAGGAGAAACAGTAGCATCTGGAGATGTTTTGAAAGTAGAAACACAAGCTACATAGCATTACAATGTATTGTTCATTATAAGTAATCGGGGGATGATTTAAAGTGTACCAGGGAATGTGTAGGTTGGTTTTTTTGTTTTTTAAAAAATTTATTTATTTATTTTGGTACCGGGGATCGAACTCCGGTGTTTGTGCTTGCGTAGCAGGCGGCGAAACCACTGAGCTAAATCCCCAACCCAGGGGACGTGTAGGTTAGAAGCAGATACTGTGCTGTTTTACACCAGAGGCTTGAGCATCGGGGTAGGAGTTCTGGAACCAGTCCTCCACTGGTACCAAGAGACGCTTGTAGTTGGATCTACATGGTGAAGGAAGCACTCAGGATAACTTAACAGATTTCTCACTTGCACAATTGAGTGAAAATGGTGACATTTTCTGAGAAAGCAAAGGACAAGAAGGAACAAGAGTAATAGGATTTTTGTAGGGAGGGGGTGGTGGGCAAGGATTATCAAGAGTTTGGAGTATAATCCCTTTGACGTGCCTGTGGCTACTGAAATAAATCAGGCTGCTGAAATACTCAGGAGGGATCTTCCCTAGAGCTATGGGTTTAAGAATAATTGGAATACAAGTAGAAATGGATCCATTAGCATTGGAAAGATTGCCCGGAGAGAATAGGTAAATCTGCAGGAGACTGGAGGAGGGGCCAGAGAAAAGGGAAGAAAGCCAGGAAAGTGTCCATTTGTGTTCCTGAGGCCAAGGGGTGGCGGAGAAGAGCTGGCGGAGAAGAGTGGAGCTAATAACCTCAAGCTCTGGAGAGGTCAAGCAGGAAGGAGTTGCAGAAGTGTTGCTTGGACCTAATGCTGTGGGAGTCATTGGTGCTCTTTGTGAAGGTGGTTCTGTGGGGACTAGGGGGCCCGAGCAAGTCTGGGGGAATGAGAAGATGAGGGAGTGCTAGGCTCAGACAGCTCTAAAGAGTTTGTTTGTGAAAGATGGGAAACAGGAGGATCATTCCTGAGAAGGAAGGAAAAGAGACTGAGTGCCCCAGAAGTAGCCCTCAGTGGTCTTGCATCTGCTGCCTGTTGTGTGTCCGCTTTAGGTTGATTACTGAGCACAGGATGGCAAATAAAACAACTGAGATATCTCCCAAGGGCTTCTGGGCTTTTAAAAAAAAGAACATTTCTCCCCATAGCCAAAACATCATCAAACCTGTCAAAATTAGCTTCATTGTATCATTTTAGATTTAACCCTCAAATTCCTCAAGTTGTCCATAAAATGTCCTTCAATAGCTGATGTGTCCAAACCAGGATCCCATTTCAAGACAACACCTTGGATCTGGTTATTATGTCCCTTGAACTTCTTAAAAATTACTTTTTTATTTTTAGGATTGATGTTGAGTTTTTTACAATTCTATTCTAGAGTTTTCCTTCTGGGTTTATCAGATTGTGTTTTCATGGTATAATTTATTTTTAATTTTTTTTATTCATTTTTTTTTTTTGGAGACAGGATCTCACTATGTAGTTCAGGCTGGCTTTGAACTCACTATGTAGCCTAGACTGGCCTCAAACTCCCAATGATCCTCCTACTTCAGCCTCTAGAGTGCTGGGATTACAGGCATGAGCTACCACACCTGACTCTGATGGTATAATATAGCTGGATCTTCTATCTCTAGTATTTTTTTGAAGCAAAACATTTATTGGTACATTGTACATATATATACTGATAACACTCATCATAGGGAATTTGTACCTGTGCACGATATATCTTGCTTCTTTTTTTCCCATTACACCCTCCCTTATATTATTTATATCTCTCTTGTTCCTTATTTCCAAAAGAGAAGTCCTGGACTTAGCTTCACTGGTGAATTAATTCTACCAAACACTTAAGAACATCAATGTGAGCCAGGCATGGTGGTGCACCTCTGTAATCCCAGCACTCAGGAGGCTGAGGCATTCTGTTGATAGTGTCCTTTGCACAAAATTTTTTGTCATGGACTAAGAGTTTTATAGTTTTGAATCTTACATTTACATCTTCTGTCCATTTTGAGGGTTTTTTGTTTTTGTTTTTAAGTTTATTAAAGTTTTTTCTTTGGTACCGGAGATCGAACTCGGGTCCTTGGGCTTGCGCAGCAGGCGGCGAAACCACTGAGCTAAATCCCCGGCCCTAAAGTTTGTTTTTTTGGGACATAGTCTCAGTATGTAGCTCAGGCTGGCCATCAACCACCCAGTGCTGGGATTACATTCAGGTACCACCATGCCCTGAAGTTTTTATACATTGAGATAGGATCTTGCTATGTAGCTCAGGCTGACTTCAGACTCAGTCCTCTGGCCTTAGCCTCCAGAGTGCTGGGATTATAGGTGAACACTACCACGCTTGGTTTTGAGTTAAATTTTGTATATGGTGTTAGGTAAAGATTCAATTTCATTCTTTTTTTTTTTTTAAACCACTGAGCTAAATCTCTGGCTCTCAATTTCATTCTTTTACATGGTGGCTAGTTGGTTTTCCCAACACCATTTGAAAAGATAGTTATTTCCCCAATTAATGGTCTTGGCACCTATGTCAAATATCAGTTGAGCAAATGAGTGTGTGTTTATGACTGTGGTCTTTTACCCTTTTTTTTTTTTTTTTTGGTACTGGGGATTGAACTCGGGTCCTTGTGCTTGCGCAGGCAGCGAAACCACTGAGCTAAATCCCGGGCCCCCCATTCTTTTGGTTTATATGCCTATGCTATTACTATGGTTCTGTACTAAGTTTTGAAATCAGGAGGTGTGAATTCTAGCTTTGTTCTTTTTCAAGATTGTTTTGGCTTTTTGAGGGTCCTTTAAGATTCCAAGTATGTAACTGGGTGTATTGCCTGTAATCCTAGCATTCTGGGAGGCTGAGGCAGGAGGATCACAAGTTCCATCCCAGCCTGGGCAATTTAGGGACTTGGTGAGACCTCATCTCAAAATTAATAAACAAAGGGGTTTTGTGGGGGCCTTGAGATGTAACTCTGTGTGAAGGCTTCTGGGTTCAATTCTCAATATCACACAAACATTCCATATGAATTTTAAAATGAATTTTTAAAATAGCAAAACTTATTCGTACAGTTTAGGCATACATAATGATAACTCTCATCACAGGGAATTTCCACCTGTACATGATACAACCTGCCTCTTTTTTCCTATTTCTCCAGTCCCCTCAGGCCCCCTGTCCTCCTTATGTTTGTTTGTTTGTTTTTTTTTGGGGGGGGTAACAGGGGTCGAACTTGGGACCTTTTGCTTTCCAGGCAGACGGCAGGACCACTGAGCTAAATCCCCGGCCCCCTGACTTCCTTATGTACAAAAGCTTTGTTTCCATTTTTTCCTTCTGTTTCCACTTTTTCTTGTCCCTTCCTTTCTCCCTCCTTCCTCCCTTGTTCCCCTTCCCCCCTTGTTCCCCTTCCCATTTGAACATTTTCTTCCCATTTCCCAATATCTATTACACATTTTAGTCCTTATTTCCACTTTCGGTTTCTCACTAAAATGGATTTTTCTATTTCTGCAAAAAATGTAGGAATTTGTTAGGAATTGTACTGAATCTTTAAACTTCTTTGAGGAGTACTGACATCTTAACAATAGTAAGTCTTTCATTCCATGAACATAAAAAGTCACTTGTGTCTTAAAAATTTTTCTTTCAGCAGCATTTTGTAATTTTCAGTGATTGAGTTAATCTCCTTTGTTAAATTAATTTCTAGGTGCTTTGTTCTTTTTTAAACTATTGTAAATGTAGTTGTTTTCCTAATTTCCTGTTTGGGTTACTCAGTGCTGTTGTATAAAAACACAACTAATTTTTGTGCTGATTTTTATTTATTTTTGGTGGTAGTGGAGATTGAATACAGGGTTTTCAAACTGAGCTACGTCTCCATCCCTTTTAATTTTTTATTTATTTTAAGACTAAGTTGCTTACTTGCCCAGGCTGGCCTCAAACTTTTGATCCTCCTGCCTCAGGCTCCCAGAGTCCTCTGATTACAGGTGTGTGCTGCCACATTTGCTTCAGTGTGTTGGTGTCCTGCTACTTTGAATTTATTCATTCCAACAGGTTTTTTTTTTTTTTTTTTTTGATATTTTCCCCACCCCTGGTAAGCTGCAGTGTTTCCCCACATAGAAGATCATGTCTCCTGTAATTAGAGGCAACTTCCTTTCTGATTGGAATTCCTTTCTTATTTGTCCAATTGCTCTGGCTAGAACTTCCAATACCACATTGACTGAAAGTGGCAAAAACAGGCATCCTTGACCATGGTTTCGGAAGAAAAGCCTCAGTCTTACTTGTTTTCCATCCATATTTGTAAAAGATGTTGATTCTGTATTCTTTTTTTTTAGGTACTGGGGATCGAACTTGGATCGTTGTGCTTGCGGGGCAGGCGACAGAACCACTGAGCTCAATCCCCGGCCCAAGATTCTATGTTCTTATGTCTTTGGTTTTGGGAGCACGGCAATGTTGGGCTATAGAGTGTATTAGGAAGTGTTCCATCCTCTTCAATTTTTTGCAAGCATTTGAGATGCATTGGTGTGTTTTGTTTTTTTTGAGACAGAGTCTTGCTATGTAGTCCAGGCTGGCCTTGACCTCACTAAGTAGCTGAGACTGGCCTGGAACTTGCAGCAATCCTCCTACCTCAGCTTCTTGAGTGCTAGGATTGCAGGTGTGCACCACCACACCCAGCTACAATAGTACTTTTAGAATAATTGTCTTTATATCACCCTTCCCAGAGATCTTGTGGCAGATTTCTTTATGGCTTTAACAGCAGCTGTTGGGACTGTCTAGTGTCCTTTGATTTCAACCTGCAGGATTCCCATTAATGTTTCTTGCAGGGCAGGTCAAATGATAGTGATCTTCCTCAGCTTTTTTTTTTCCTCTTAAAATCTGGGAATGTCCTTTTATTTTATTGTATTTTGAGGGGATATCTTAATTTCTAATTGTTTAGACATAATTTCTCTGAATTTTTTCTGCTGTGATGTTCTTGTAATTGGTGTGGAACTTGTACTTGTTCTTCTAAGTTGTGCTTTTTAAAAAATGTTGGAGTGTTATATTTTTCTCTGTGTAGCATCTTTTTTTTTTTGGTGAACTTGTCTTTTGGGAAATTGCAATCTTCAGTTTCTATGTGGATGTTTTTGTGTCTATGAATATTTGTGCCTTATGTTTTGGTCTTCACATTTGAATGGATTGTTCTTTCTGGTCCATCGCATTGGAGAAGTGGATGGGAAGTTGGAGTAGCATTCCCAGCTCTCAGCTCTAGAGCGCCTACTTGTATTCCTATAATATAGTGTAAGGGGCCGGGGATTTAGCTCAGTGGTTTTGCCGCCTACTGCGCAAGCGCAAGGACCTGAGTTCAATCCCCGGTTCCAAAAAAAAAGATACAATATAGTGTAAGAGAGTGGCTTTTTTTTTTTTTTCTTTTGTGACAAGGTCTCCCTATGCAGCTCAGGCTTGTCTTGAACCCACTATGTAGCTAGACTGGCCTCAAACTCTCAATGATGCTCCTGCCTCAGCCTCCTGAGTGCTGGGATTACAGGTGTGTGCCACGACACCTGGTAAAAATGAGATTTCAAATTGTATCCTATTTTAAAAGCTTCAATTCCCAATCTTTTCCTCACCCTTCATACTAGTCTCAGCCATCAAGGGATTCTGCCCGACTTCCCAGACAACCACTCCTCCCTTTGTTTTCAGGAGACTTTTCTTTTTTTAGCATTTATTGTGTTTATTATTTCATTTTCATATATGGATATAACAATTTGATCATTTCCATTCCTCACTAGCCTCCCTTACATCTTTCTCCCCTCTCACCACAGGGATAATGATACTCTTGGGAGGCGGAAGCAGGAGGATGCATCCTGCCTCAAAATTTAAAAGGGGTGATGCGGAGCTAGGAATATATTTCAGTGTGAAGGCCCTGGGTTCAATCCCCTGTACTGCAAAGTCAATCAAATAATTAATCATAAAAGCACACCAAAACCAAAAGAGCCAGGTATGGTGGTGCACCCCTGCAATCCCAGCACTCAGGAGGCTGAGGCAGGAGGATCGCTGTAGCTTGGGACTAGCCTGGGCTACATAGTGAGTTCAAGGCAACCTTGAACTACATAGAAAGGCCTTGTCTCAAAAAAAAAGGAGACGTAAATTTGAGTTACGCTTCTGTTGTGCTCCTGTCAGCCAGTCCTGAATTATAGAAAGCCCGAGTAGAGGCAGGATAGTTCAGGTCAGAGGTGATGGAAGCCTGGATCAGCATGGGATCTGGGCATGGGAAGGAGGGCTGTGTAGAACTGGAATTTGCCCTAGGGTGAATTTCACCTCATTTTCTCCTCCCAGGATACCATGAAGCCATCATCCATCACAGATATGTGGCCGTCTTTCAGAAGCAGTGGAGTATACACATCTTGGAACCACGGCCCACCAGGCACCAAGCACTGCTCTCAGGGCAGAGAGACGATGGGGACCCTCTTGGTGTCTCCTGAGACACCAAGGCAGGATGCAGGCGAAGTGAGGCCCTGTTTCAGTGTGTCACAGAATGAGCACACTGTAAGCTATTGCCTCCAAGGCACTCTCACCCCCTACCAGAAGATCTGCCAGAGCTTGTCTCCCTCCCAGCCAGGGATGATTGGAAGGGGACCCCAGATGATGTCCTTAGAGCCTGGGATTCGAGGAGGGGATCTGACGTACAGTGAGAATCCGAGGATGCCCCTCAGCGGGATAGTGTCAGCTTCAAGTGGAATTTCAACGATGTCCTCCACCAGTGATCCGACAATGCCTTATTCTTGGACCCCAACAATACCTTCTATCGGAGCCTCTTTACAATCTAAAATGTTATTGGCTCCGACCATGCCTTCCAGTGAGGCCCAGGGTGTATTCCTGTCTGTGGCTCAGATGTTGCCACCCAGAAATCCCTACAACCTTGCGATTCCCCCTGCTAAGTCCCAATCATTGCAGACCTTGGAATCCCAGGACTCTCTTGTGAGTCGGTCAGGCTCCCACAAAGACCTCTTCCTGCCTGAGCAGCCTACACCTGCTCCTCAGAGAGCAGAGAACTCTGGGGTCTGGGGAGGGGCACCCGGAAAGCAACCCCCAATTCTAAGACCGTACTGCTGCCCATATAAGGACTGTGAAAAAGCTTATACCAAGCGCTCCCACCTCGTGAATCACCAGCGCAAACACACAGGTGAATGATGAATCAGCTGGGGAGGGGGTGAAGTCCCTGGGCTTTTGATTTGTATACTGATTGGTAATGGATGGGATTGGAAATTCATCTTTCATGCTTGGAACCAAGCTCTGTTGACTCCACCAACTTGCCAACCAGAATAACTGCCAGGAAGATGGGGAGGGTGCAAATGATGGCATTGTACCCTCTCTGGTTTTCATTTGTTTTCTTTCTGTATTTTTATTTTTTTCTCTGGTTTCCTGCATCTTCCCTTTTGATTCCCCAGCCCTGACTTTTCCTGCTTCCTGTCAGATCCCTTTGTCTCACCATTTGGCTACTCTTCCACTTAATTCCGCCTCTATAACTCCTTAGGGGAGAAGCCCTACAAGTGCAACTGGGAAGACTGTACCTGGTGTTTCTTCCGTTCTGATGAGCTTCAGCGTCATATGCGGAGACACACCAAACACCGGCCACATACGTGTAATCAGTGTGACCGACAGTTCATGAGGTCTGACCATCTCAAACAACACCAAAAGACGCATCAGCGACTGCTGGATTCCCTAAGACAGCTGGCCAACAATGGACAGATGGATGGTCCTCTTGCTCCTGGTCTTTAGGTCAGTCTCCTGTTCTCATTTTGGCTTTTCTACCCAGATCCTGTTGGCCTCTGACCATCTCTTTGGCAGGTACGGGCTTAGGTGAAGACAGAAAGATTAAGAGGCAATGCTGAAGCCCAGATAAAGCTCTGAACCCCATTAGTGAGTCTTCAAAACTCTCAAGCACTCTTTTGGATTCCTTCCCCTCTCTGGGGCCACCTACTTGTGACAGTTAGCCAGACAGGAAGATAGAGTACAGTAGATACTGGCGTTTATTAAAAAGCTCTCTGTCTCCCATCATTCCCCAGCTTGAAACCTTTAGTGACTCTCTTCTGCCTGCTTCATAAAACCCAAGTTTTTAAATCTTGTTCTTCCAGATTCTGGTGTGAGACTGTTTAGATCTTGAACTCATCACTATGACTCGCCAAGTGACCTTGGGAAATCTCTTTCATCAACATGCCTTAATTCATCCTCTGGAAAATAAGAAAAACCATCCTGGACTATAGTTGGGTATGTCATATATACTGCATCAGATCTCCTGGGGCTAATCACCTGTGTGTCCAGCATTTGTCTCTTCCTTCCAGACCTGAGTGGAATGGCCCACCACAGAATGGGATCCAGCATCCCGCGTAGCCACAGAAACCTGGATGTGTCAGGGAATTAGTATTCATGGGGTAAGATTTCACTAATAGGAAATGGGAATTAAGAGAGAGCCAGGCAGAGACACTCTGCCTTCTTCTCTCCCTTCTAAGAATTGCTATGTAAGGCATAGTTTCTCCCCAGCAGTGTAGCCTGTAGGGAGATTTCCCAAGCAGCTGGTGGACACAGCTGCAAGGCCTCTTTCGTACCTGACATGTGGCTTGAAAGAATATTATCTCACTACCTCCATTTTTTCTGCCTCATTTTTATTTCACCCCTAATGTCCCCTCCCCCTAATAAAACATCAATATTCAGTTCCTGCTGTAGGCTCTGTTTTCTAGGTGCTTTGGAGGTGGAAGGAGAGGAAAACATTAGACTTTGGCAAAGAAAGACTAAGCCCTGCTGTGACACCTCCCTACCTACCCTGGTATCCGAGCCATGAAATATCAGGACACCCCCCCCC